AGGACAGGGAGTGATTCAGAAGATCATTCTTTCACATAAAGTGACAAGAGAAAAATCACAAGTAGCTCCCATATATATGGGCTTTCCCATTAGGGAGATTTTCTCATCTGTTCCCCAGAAATACTGCAGAAGAGACAAGTGATCCACTTATAGGGAGTTCTCCAAGTCCACTCATGTTAAGCAACAAATTGTCCATGGCTCCCCTTAAAATCATCTTGACCACAACACAGTGGGAATCAAAACTTGTGCTGGTTGAAATCAGGTCCTATCAACACTCCCTCAATAGGCCAGCACTGACACACAGTACCCAGGATTATAGTTGTGATAATTCAGTTGTTCTCATGGCAGCACGTCAAGATGTCACAAATCGTGATTTATTATTTCTCTGGACTATCAAAAAGCTGCTGACCTAGGGGAGTTTGACAAAGGTCTTGTTTACAAAGGAAGACTTCTAAAGGAGGAAAAAAAAAAAAAAAGGAAAAAGCCACCAAAACACTGGAGGACACCACCACTTTTATAGCTTATGAAAGTTTTCTCTTTTCTGATCTTGCTCTAATACATAATAAGCCTTTAAAATGAAATGTCAAAATATAGTAATATAAGGGGCGTCACAATGGTCTCTGAGAGAGAACGGAATACGCTTTTACACTGGCCTGTAAATGTCTTATCTTTATCAAAGACAGAGAGTTTTGAATAATTATTTGCCAAAGTGTTACTTTCCAGTTACACTGTCAGAAATATCTTAAACAGAATTCAAGCATTAGCGATAAAATACAAGCAGGAGCACTTTTTCTTTCCTTTTTTTTTTTTTCGTCAATTCCAAGCCTCAGGTGTTGGTCAAAGCACCTTTCAAGAAAACTTGATGAGAAATGCTCAAAAAACACTTTAAAACCGAACAAAAGAAAAGATCTAAAGCTGCTTTGAACACACTCTTGCGGTGAATTTTTTCTTAAGACGCCACAGTGCAGCTAGTCCTGGAGCTGGGATGTCACTGCTGTCACTCAGAAGAGAAAGGCTGCATTGAAGGGGGCACTCCCGCACCTCTGACCATTCTTCAAGGATTCTGATACCCCAAACTCCTAATTTATTTTCACGGCGTTCTTTACCCACAAGGCACCTCTGCTTAATGCCTCCAATCAGGTAAATGGACCCCGGTCTCCAGGTCTGGATTTCTTCCTTAGTCCACTGGAATAAATATCTTGGGTACCTAACAGGTATCTCCAGATCCCTTCTTCCCAGTGGCAAACATTTGAGTCGTCAAGGAGCTTAAAAAAAAAAAAAAAAAAAGTCCAGGAGAATAAAAGCGCAATTAGATCCTTAACAGAGAAAGTGTGTCTGGATTTGCATAACAATGCACCAACTTGGGATTCAAACCTGCCACACCTCTTAGCACTTAACCAGTGTGCTCAAAGTCGGCTGGATGCCTACCAAGTCTAGTGTTGGCAAACAAGCCTGGGGCAGTGGCCCCCCAAGTAACCGATGGAAAATATTACCGAAATATTTGAATGTGCACATCTAAGTGTCTATACACACACATAATATTGGGTATGGCTTTTATTTTAGTCCAGCTCTCAGGGCCTTCTGAATCTTAGATGGTTAGACAGAAATTCTCTGCCACTCCATACGCCAGCAACAATCTTTCTGTTCATACAAGCATTCTGCTCCTAGGAGCATGGCACAACCAGGTGTAAATAAAAAAGTCCCTTGAAATGGGAGTTTAAAATTTAACTCTGCTATTCATGACGCACAGACGTTAAAAATAACCACTCCATACAGGAGACAAACGTGTATCCTTAATGCCTCCCTTAGGCTCTAACATTACACGTATTTAGGAATACAGTCTATCTAATGACCAGGAGACCATGATGACACCTCTCCATAAAATATTAACCCCGGTCGCTTTGTTGTTTCAAAAGCACCAACGTCCATCAGACTGGGGAGGAAGGATAAAAGGCGAAACCTTGCAAAACTCTCCCAAAAGTTATATAAACAAAGGAGGGGAGAAGCCCAGTGTGGGCTTTGCACCCATGTGCTACTAAAATTACATAACACCCGGCGCAGACATTAGACAAGGAATGGATTCTGCACAACACCCTCCCCCCCCCCACTTTCCTCGACTCCCCAAGCCCGTCTCCTTCTCTTAAAAAATCCTAATGCCTGGCAAGACCAAATGGACGACTTGGAATATTTATTTTATTGCTGGAGTAAATCCTGCGAGAGTTGGAGGCACGTTTAGGCCCGAAGTTTTGAATGTGCAACAGCCCCAGGGCGCAGCGACTCCACTCTCCGGACCCGGAGGAGAAAGAACTGACAAGCGACAGCAACCAGCAAGGCCTTCTCCTTCGCCCTCGCGGTGCTTCCCGCTGGAAAGTTTTCCACGCGATCGATCGGAGGGCGAGGAGCCCGTTTCCCCCGCCTGCCTGACTTTGCAGGAAAGGCGAGCCGGGAGACCGGAGGGGGCCGGCAGGGAGAGAGCCGGAAAGCTCCGCACTCAGCGGGCGGCGCCGGCGCAGGCTCCTTACCTGGGGGACGCGGAACAAAAAGAGGCGCGGGGCTCGCCGAGCGGGTGGCGGCGGCGCGGCCGGCTGCCGGAGCGGGTCTCCCCACCCGAGCCCTAGGCCCGCGCCCGAGCCCGCGGCCCGGCCCCCGCCGCCGCCGCCGCTTCCTCCCTCGCGCGCGTCATGTCACGGCGATCAAACATGTCTGTGTGCGCTTCGCTGCTGTGACTTCCTGATTCTCTGCCGCTCGCGCGCGCACACTCACACTCACACTCACAGCCACACGCACACGCCACCCCCACCAGCCCCCGCCACCAAACCTCGCCTGGTCCTCCCCGGGCTCCCGGCGGCTGCCGGCGCCTCTGCTCGCGTCGCGCTGCCCCGGCGCGCACAACACACACTCACACTCACGCGCAGACACACTCGCGCCGGCCCCGAGGCGCGGAGACGCGAGCCGCGGGAGCTCGCCGCCCCCTCCC